AGACTGTCAACTGTTAAAAAGATAATCATCTAAGTGGCGTTAGTAGTTTTGTATGTAGCTCATTATGTTGTCTCACACTACGGAGGACAATGAAATGGTGACATGACAGGGTTTACTATACAGAAATGGTGACATGACAGGGTTTACTATACAGAAATGGTGACATGACAGACGGCACCATACATGACAAAAAGGACAAAAAATGACAATGTCACCAAACACGATAGATGTCACCAGACAAACACTCGGGCAGATGAGGCTCGTTAGCTGGGGACAGCCACTCTTCTAGGAGAGACAACTCCAAAATTAAACAACTGCTGCCTTGTAGTTTGTTCTTGGTTGGACAAAGGCTATGGAAGCAAATCCAAAAACAAAAGCAGGCTGAAATCGGAGTCAATCGCCTCAATGGCGCATAACCAGTTGACACGTATCCTTAATTGAGTTGGAGGGGGATCCCTTCCAACACTAAAATTAAGAACGAAGAAGAAGAAGAAGACCAGACAAACTGATGGAGTCCCTGAACTAGTACGAGGTCATCAGACCTAGCTCTGATACCCCCCCCCCCCACCACTACATATCTCCCACTCACTGAGGCCGTGTAATGCGGGCAGTAATGTCCAGTTAATGGTCAAAAGAGCCATTAATAGTTCACGTCTGAGAAACCAGAAGGGTTTGTGGCACCAGTCCCCAGTAGACTCGTGGCTGGAATCTCAAAGAACTTTTAACCCTCGCCCGTCACGTGATGTTCGGTGTGAGCAAGGATGGGGAGGGAGGGGCTGGAGTTCTGAACTCATATCTAAAGCTTAAAGTCTTGCATTAACGTTTCTATTTTAAGAGATTAGTTTGTTTACAGTTTCTGTGGGAGAAAAACGCGTTTCACTTCCTAGTACTAAAATTTGAAATTGATACACGTAGTTTGATGTGAAAAAAAAGTCAAAATTGAACAAGTGAAAGTGATCAAAAACGTCAAATAACAAGTTTGTAGAGGTGAAATGTGACAAGAAAAAAATGTCACCAAATAACGACATGTGAAAGCCATTCAAAAAGTCATAGCAAAGTCACAAACTTTGCTTGGAGAAATGTCGGGACCAAAGTCCCATTCTGGGGTTAATGTATCGATCTATTTTTAGCAGCGTTCTTCCCTCAGGATATACAAGAGTGTATTTGTTTCTAGAGTCAAGAATAGATTGTGCGATAAGCAATTAATTGAGCAATTAATGAAGTCATGTGCGGCATTAGAAAAAGAAGTAGATCGCGCGATTTGAGTTGACTTTGACGTCATTCATCACGTGATTTGAGTTGACTTTGACGTCATTCATCACGTGAAACAAGCTTAGATGTGATAAGCAGAGCTATTTAAAGGATGGGGGGGTATGAAAAACATTGTCCTGAGCCGGATGTCAATATTTACTAACTAGGTCAGTGAGACCTACACAGATGATGTAAAGTTTGTGTTGGTGGGTTGGCCTGTACAGACTAGCTGTGGTCTGTTAAGACTTTTGTTCAATTTGTTGTTATTAGTCATTCAAACTAGTGGGCTTTCTCAACTTGCCAATGGGGGTCGGCGTGGTCGAGTCGGTAAAAAGTCTCGAGTTCGAACCCTCGGGCAGATAATCGTTAGCTGGGGACAGCCGCTCTTCTAGGAGAGACAACTCGAAAATCAAACAACTGCCTCCTTCTATTTTGTTTTTGGTTGGAGGAAGGCTATTGTAGTAAATCCAAAAAGAAAAGCAGGCTGAAATCGGAGTCAATGGCCTCAATGGTGCATAACCAGTTGACACGTTTACTTAATTGTGTTGGAGGGAATCCCTTACAACACTAAATTTAAGAACAAAGAAGAACTTGCCAATTATTTAATTATATAATTGATGATAAAAAATATTTAAAGACACTTAAATTATACCTTAGGCTGAATTTTGGACGTAAAAATTATCCATGAGGTCAACCCTGGACGTACAAATTACACATCAGCTTAAATTTGGACAGACAAACTGAACCTCGGGATAAATTTGGACGTACAAATCACACCTAAGACTCATCCTCAAACACTCATATAAGAATTCTATCCCCGTCTATTGGTGTCTGTTGGTTTCTAAAGAAAAGCTTTGTTACTCTGAACGTCTGTTAGTTTCTAAAGAAAAGCTGTCTTACTCTAAACGTCGGTTGTTTTGTAGAAAGAAAACTGCTCCAGTTAAGCGCGAGCAGACTTAGGGAAGGCTAACGATTTTGGTGTAATCTCCTGGAAAGGTGGTCTCTGTAACGGGTGGCCGATTAAGCGAGTTGATAACACGGGTGGTATTTACTTGCTCCGGCCCGGTCAATCGTTTACTGCTTTGAACTTCCTGATAACGAATTGACCCATCTAATAGAAAATGTTTTATGGAGTTTTCGGTAGCCGGAAATTCCCTTGTTGGATTACCTTGGAGAAATGAAAACAATTTTCTCTGTTTTTTCCGAAGACGGAAAGTGCAGTGTTTCGTTTCGTGGTTGTACGGATCAATGGGATGAGATAATTTATTGAATTTCGAATTTTATAAATTTGGAACATTATTTGTTCACGGACCATTATTGAACGCAGTAGTTTTTCAACCAAAGGATAATCACTGCTTTGCCCGTTTGTTGAAATTATCACACAAATAAACCCTAATTATAGCAAAAATCTAATCCTAAAAATTTTTTAGTCGATACGCAAAGCTAGCGGAACATAAAACCCTTGAAATTAAAAAAAAAATTAATTCACTAAAATAAGAATTTAAACATAAGCTCAGGCTCGTAAGATGTGGACAGCAGCCCATATAGAAGAGAAAACTCAATTAAATGTTTACGCTTTTTATACTGTAAATACAAATGTATTAAAAATAACTACTTAATAATATATATTTTCTTTTCGGTTGTTTTTTAATGCTTAGAATTGTTTTGATTATCAAAATTTTATATTCAAATGTATTAAGAATGTCTACTTCGTAATACATACTATAAGTGTTTTGTTTTTTTCGGGCAAACGGCCTAAGGCAAGTGTTCGTCGGAAAAGTTTCCATTCGAAATAAACCGGGAGTGATCCCCCCTAAACTTTCTCGAATATTCTTATATATCAATAAGGGGGGTGGTATCCCGGGATATAGACATGATTTTAATCCATTTTTTAATCAATTAAACTTTTAAAAATAGAATAGAATATCGTTGAAAAAAAATGAGCACCAAGTGAATCGCAAACAATATGTGTATAATAGTGCGGAATATTAGTACTTTATAAATTCATATTCGTTGTTTTTTTTCTTTGTTTTTTTTTTAAAAATTTTTTTTGGGGGGGGGGGGGGGGGGGGGGGGGAATCGGAAATAACGTAAATTACTACTTTCGTTCAAAGGAAATTACTCAAAATTTGATAGAAAGCAAAGAAAGAGATCTTTTACTTACGTGGTATGAAATTTCATTTATCTAGCTTAAACAGTACTTTATAGGCTTTTAGAAAAACAAAAGTAGAATAAGTTCAACTTCCGGTTACAGGAAATAGCTCAAAAGTTGATACAGAACTACAAATTTTATGTTATACTTATATATGATTTTCGTCAACCTAGCTGTAACGGTACTCAAGTTATCGTGTTCACAGACACACACACACACACACACACGCACATACGCACGTACATACATACAAACACATAAATACGGACAAAATTGCAAAACTATGTTTTTCCGACTCAGGGAGGTGAAAAACGTCAAGATTTGTGAAAAGCTCTATTCGATTTTTTGCACGATTATAATACTTCCTCTATACTTAGCATACCTGAAAGTAAAAACGACTTTTGAAAAAACGACATTGAGCGTCTTTCGGGAAATGTCGTAAACCCGTTTAGATGTAGGTGAAGTATCTTAGTATATTCATGTATTTTTATCATCTTCTTTATATGCCATAGCTACCAATCATGTAGCAGTTAATTATACAAATGAAGATAATTCAACCGAAATATATGTACATTGAAAATGTAAACATACTGCTGTATGTATACAGTTATATTGTAGATCAAGGATTTCCGACATTAATAAAGTTTATCCAAGAGATAAACAAGTTTTAAATGAGAAGCAAAACAATAGATGAAATGTAATTTATAAGATGTTTTTATATTTTGCACCTTCTAGAAAAAAACGCTTTGCTAATGCTTAAATGCAAGATAAATGAATCTAAATAAACCTTTAAGCATTTACTCCGCATATTTCTAAAGCTGAAGACATTACCACACACAGTCAGAGTTTATACCATTAACTGGATTATGTTGTCTATGATGCTTGATGAAACGATAATTACACTTTTTGTGGTAGTTGATGGTGTAACAGATGATGGCGTGGCTCTAGCAGATGTATACAACAGACAAGCCAGGAAGCCAGAAACGTAATCATTTTTTTACTGCAGATCTTTAAGATATCGGCAGAGAAGACTCAAAAAGTGCGTTAAAAATTAATTTTTAGATATAGTTAACTGTAGGAGGAATATTTTACATACATTTTAAATTATGTCCGTATTTAATACGTTTGTGAATGTATTGGTTTTAACAGTAATTTTATTTTTAAACACAATTAATATTTTACAAGGAAAATTTAAAATATGAATATCAAAACCTGGAATTTATGATAAAACAAATATTTTTGAACGACCTAAAAGTTTGTTATTTTATATATACTTCGCGTATGTAAAGATCATTAGATGAATAAAAAAAAAGAGAGAAGTCGAACATAAATTTTGAAATCGCATCTGTAAAAATATATCACGATCTAAAATATGCCCTCGAGATGCCTTTCAAATTAACTCTTAAAAGTTGCCCACGATATGCTATATAAATATGCCCTTAAAAGATATCTTCTACATGTCTCAGAGAAATCATCAAGAATCCATCCATACATTTCTACTTTTGCTATACAATTAGAGTAAAAAAATGTAAACCTATTCTGTCGTGTTTCTTTAATCAAATATATTTTTACCAGAAAAAATTAAAATGGTACTCACGTTTTCTTTCAGCGTGTAAAATCTTGCTGGATGAGTACTGGGTTGTGCTGAGTCCTGCTAAGTCGCGCGTTACTTAATTTACTAAAACAGTTTCCAATGTTTGTTTTGAAACATTTCTCTTAAACCCAATGAAGTTCAGTAAGCTCCTTATATATATATATATATATATATATATATATATATATATATATATATATATATATATATATATATATATATATATATATATATATATATATATATATATATATATATATATATATATATATAAATATATATATATATATATATATATATATATAAATATAAATATATATATATATATATATATATATATATATATATATATATATATATACAGGGATGATAAAGATAGACGCAAGCGCAAAGGTTTGAAACAGAAAAAACGGCAGAGAAAAAGCTATCAAATTATTATTTTTATTGTATATTTAATGCGTTAAAGCATATTGTACAAACTCATTTTTCTTGCTAAATGACTTAGAAATAATTTTATTTATTATCCGGAAAAAATGTATCAATGTATCCGTTTATAAATAATATCAATCTGATATAAAAACGAAACTAAAAGAAAAACACATTCAAAAAGATTTTTAAAAATTTCAGTTACAACTTCTAATCAAATAGTACCAGTCGCTTCCAGAAACAAGTTTAATCAAAGTTTTCAAAGTTTGTTTTTTCTTGGAGCCACCAGTTTGTGAATGGACAGCGACGCGCAACCTCGCATCTCCCCCAGCAGACGTTTCTCCCAGATATAGCTCAGCCCGTCATTCGGCGCAGACGACCTGCGACAGACGTTTTACCAGGCGAGGTCTGGCACCGGGTGAGCGGTGGTCGTGGTGAGCGGTGACGGTGGTACAATTGTCGTGGTACGAAGGTGCGGTGGTCGGTGGTCGTGGTACGGTCAGCGGTGGTTGTGGTACGGTGAGCGGTGGTCGTGGTGAGCGGTGACGGTGGTACGCGGTGGTAGTGGTACGGTGGTCGTGGTACGGTGATCGTGTGACGGTGGTCGTGGTATGAGTGAGCGGTGGTCGTTGTTTTGATGAGCAGTGGTCGTTGTATGGTGGTCGTTGCAACGGTGGTTGTGGTACGGTGGTCGTTGCAACGGTGGTCGTGGGATGGTTGTCGTGGTACGGTGGTTGTGGTACGGTGGTCGTGGTACGGTGGTTGTGGTACGGTGGTAGTGGTACGGTGGTCGTGGTACGGTGGTTGTGGTACGGTGGTTGTGGTACGGTGGTTGTGGTACGGTGGTTGTGGTACGGTGGTTGTGGTACGGTGGTTGTGGTACGGTGGTCGTGGTACGGTGGTCGTGGTACGGTGGTTGTGGTACGGTGGTTGTGGTACGGTGGTCGTGGTACGGTGGTCGTGGTACGGTGGTTGTGGTACGGTGATTGTGGTACGGTGGTCGTGGTACAATGAGCGGTGGTGCTGGTGTTTTTGATGAGTCAAGTTTTACCACAAATCTAAAATTAAACCTACCACGGGAGGCAGCTATCAAACTGTTGAGTAAATCATTATCTTTCAAGGTTGAATAATCAAAGATTTTGTGATGTCTAACGCTTGGTCGTAAAGGGTGGGATCAGTTCAAATGTACATGGGACTAGATCGTGTAAAGAATACTTTAATTACCTTTGTTGTAAAAAGTCAAATGGTTTAAAAGATGTTTAGTCGGAATGGCGTTGGGTAATTTTTTTTCGTGACTACTAAAGGTGCAATGTATTGTGTAGCTGGCATCATGTAATACATAACTAGTATGATGTGGTATTGTGTATTTAGTATAATGTATTATGTAGTTGTATAATGTATTATATAACTAGTATAATGTATTGTGTTAATAGTTTGATGTAAAGGAAGTCATAATTAATTCGATTTTTTTATGGTAATTGGAATAATGTGTTTTGTAGATGGTATAATGTATTATTTAACGGGTATAACGAGTCAAATTTTAAATCAATGTAAATTGTTTTGTTAATATGGCTGAGGTTGACACAAAGTAATCACTTGAATAAATGTCTAGTACTGATATGGACTAAATAAACATTCTAATTAGTTTTTATCATATCCTGAAAACAACCAATCCGCACTAAAAAGATCTTATTCTTATATAACTAGCTATTCATAGATGATCATTGCCCTTCTATCTATTGCCTCATTGCTTACTTCATTTTTAGCTTTATTATCTACTTCGTGTCTGTTTAAAGCAAAAAAAAACTCACAACTTTCGAGGTCACAATCTTGATGAAACGAAACGATGAAATCTTTGTCGCACTACTTAAGACTGATTAGCTAAGGCAAATAGTAAATCTATACCAATCGTTGTAGGAATTTGTTCTTTTCGCGTTATCTATTATTATCGTAGCAGAAAAGTAATCTATATCAATCGTAAGGGAGAAAAACTAACAGTGAAATAAGTGGAATCGGGTGGGTTCCTGTGCTCGAATTCGATTATTTCTTAAATGCTATTTGTGGGGCCGATACGTCACGGTTTGTACAAAACTAAATGTCGGTCTGGTCGATGGCTTATGAGTTAACTGGTATGACATTTGTGATGTTCAGATGGTAGGGTTGTTCATTCAAAGGTTGCAGGTAGGTGGGGGGGGGGGGGGGGTGAATGGGGTGTTGGGTGGATGGATGGGATGGGATAGAATGGGATAGAATGGGATTGATTGAGATAGAAAGGGTGGAATAGAACGGAATAGAATGGAATAGAATGGAATAGAATGGCATAGAATGGCATAGAATGGCATAGAATGGAATAGAATGGAATAGAATGGCATAGAATGGCATAGAATGGCATAGAATGGCATAGAATGGCATAGAATGGCATAGAATGGCATAGAATGGAATAGAATGGAATAGAATGGAATGGAATGGAATGGAATGGAATGGAATGGAATGGAATGGAATGGAATGGAATGGAATGGAATGGAATGGAATGGAATGGAATGGAATGGAATGGAATGGAATGGAATGGAATAGAATAGAATAGAATAGAATAGAATAGAATAGAATAGAATAGAATAGAATAGAATAGAATAGAATAGAATAGAATAGAATAGAATAGAATAGAATAGAATAGAATAGAATAGAATAGAATAAGCTGAGTTGGGCTGGGCTGGTATACGATAGGATAGGATAGGATAGGATAGGATAGGATAGGATAGGATAGGATAGGATAGGATAGGATAGGATAGGATAGGATAGGATAGGATAGGATAGGATAGGATAGGCCGGGACGGGACGGGACGGGACGGGTGCATGACTTAAGCATCAAGAACTATTCTAACAGTAAAAAAAATCAATTACAGTTGTTTAGCCAGCCAACATGTGTATTAAAGGGAAATGATTGTCGATACAATTTCTCACTTGGGGTAATTAACCCGGTACACTAGAGGTAATTAACCATGTAAACTTGGAATAATTAACCCAGTACACTTGGGGTAATTAACCCTGTACACTTGGGGTAATTAATTAATTAATGTAAGTATATTTAACATCTGAATTTTAAAACACGTGAGTTGTCCATAAATAAAAACATATTTAAAGTATGAGAAGTATGTACACGTTTGAGCCGACTGGTCTAGTGCCAAACAAGATCCTGTCGGTTGAGACCGCTCGACCCTGCGTTACACCGACAGTTAACATTTGTCAGTAAGTTGTCAGTAAGTTGTCAGTAAGCTGTCAGTAAGCTGTCAGCAGTCTGTCGAAAGGCTGTCAAACAGCTATACTTTGGTTGTCAGTATTGCTAAATATCGACAGAGCGATTGATTGTGCGGGGTGTGGCAACATGCTTGTTTGTTGGGGTTGGAGATTTTAGTTCATGACACGGGTATCACGTGATCTGTTGGCTAGACCTGCTCCAATTTTATTACGCCACTTACCATCTCTTTCATCTATATTCTAATCTTAGTCCTAACACTAATCTACAAGGGCCCTAAAACTAATCCACATTCTAAATTGATTTAACTCTTACTCGACAATGTTTTTTTAAAGACACAAAAACAAAACAAAAAAGACGTCACTTAATTAAATATCTTATTATTATCTCCCTGCTACATTTGTAAAAATTGTCCAAAAATTATGATAAAATGAGAATAGATCTTGTAGACTTTCTTCGGGGTATGGCGGGGGGTTCCTAATGCTCTGGGTTTAAAATGATCAGATGGGGGGGGGGGGGAGTGCCAAGGGCATGCCGATGGGGGTTGTGACGACGGCATGTGACACTAGGAGATCTACAATGTTTATATCAAACTGTTACAATATCCCATACAACCCACTCCTCTTATTTTACTGGTGTGTACTATTAGAAACTACTAATCACGGTGTACTGGTATGTCACGAAAATATCTTAGAATACTAGCAAATTTAACCGGAAAGCTACAAGTACATAAATTTAAACTAAACTGGAAAAACCGTAAGAACACTGTTATTATTTTTATTGCAAATTAGTCAACGACTTAGTTGAAATTGTGTATGTTTTATTACAAATAACAAAAACATGAATGTAATTTGTTTTTGAAGCACGTTCAAAAATTAATTAGAGTTGACCCAATGCGTCAAATAAAACAACCTCCACCAAAATAAAGTGAAAAAAATTGTTTCAAATTTAGAATGGTTCGAGTGTCTTTAAACATAATTATTTATAAAAAAAAAATTAAAAACTCTTTTCATTACGTTTTGTCCGTCCAAGTGTAAAACTAATATTTTCCATGCAGCGTCCACGGTCTTATGAATACTGCGCAACGGAAATGACGTTTTCAGCCCACTGGTATTTCTGCGCATGTCCCTTTTTTTTATTTTGTTGTTATGCCGTTTCCGATTGCTATCATACTAATTGGCCTCGTTGTGAAATAACAGGGGGGAGGGGGGGTGTTCATCTTACCCTCCGCTCAAATATAGTAGTAAAAGACTTATTAATGGGCGGTCTTTTTTTTTTGCTTCGCCTAACTGGGATCGTCTTCGTGGTTTGCCAAATTTTGGTTAACGTGGGGAGGGGAGGGTTAAGTCCATTGTGGTTAGTGTTCATATTTGTGTTAGGGACAAGAGTATCTTTTATTAGTAAGATAATATAGTCCAGCTAACGCAAAACCTTCCTTAATATTCAGTCACTTGGTATATTGCATGCGACTATAACTGAAACCATATATCAAGCAGGCTCGATAAAGCAAAACAGGTTTAGCTTCAATGTTATGGAAGGAATATTAAGAGATTGATTGATTGATTGGTTGGTCGATTGATTGTTTGATTGTTTGATTGTTTGATTGTTAGATTGTTTGATTGTTTGATTGTTTGATTGTTTGATTGGTTGATTGGTTGATTGGTTGATTGGTTGATTGGTTGATTGGTTGATTGGTTGATTGGTTGATTGGTTGATTGGTTGATTGGTTGATTGATTGATTGGTTGATTGGTTGATTGGTTGATTGGTTGATTGGTTGATTGGTTGATTGGTTGATCGGTTGATTGGTTGATTGATTGATTGATTGATTGATTGGCAATAAAATGTTGAATTTGCAGATTGGGTTCAGGTTGGGTTGAGTGATGAGTGGTTGGGTTGTTTTCAGGATCTAATGGTGGCCAAAAGAGCAAGGTTGGGTTCATGGACAATTGAGTTCAATGAATGCAGGGTTGGGTTCAGCGTAAATTGAGTGTTAAACGGGTATTAAGTGTCAGGTTCACCATCAATTGAGTCGGGTGCCAGGGTTTAGCTTCAAGTGGTGCCGACATAAAATCGATGCCACCCTCTGGTCAGCTTGTCCATCTAAACCAGGACTGACATATAAGTCACCATGCGCGAAGTGCTGGATTAACGTCGTATCAATGCTTATCCCCAGTCATCTGGCACCCGTTTCTCACAGTCAGCAGGGACCCGTTTCCTGGTCAGCAGGGACCCGTTTCTCTCTCACAGTCAGCAGGGACCCGTTTCTCTCTCACAGTCAGCAGGGACCCGTTTCTCCCAGTCAGCAGGGACCCGTTTCTCCCAGTCAGCAGGGTCCCGTTTCTCCCAGTCAGCAGGGTCCCGGTTCTCCCAGTCAGCAGGGTCCCGTTTCTCCCAGTCAGCAGGGTCCCGTTTCTCCCAGTCAGCAGGGTCCCGGTTCTCCCAGTCAGCAGGGTCCTGTTTCTCCCAGTCAGCAGGGTCCTGTTTCTCCCAGTCAGCAGGGTCCCGTTTCTCCCAGTCAGCAGGGACCCGTTTCTCCCAGTCAGCAGGGTCCCGTTTCTCTCTCACAGTCAGCAGGGACCCGTTTCTCTCTCACAGTCAGCAGGGACCCGTTTCTCCCAGTCAGCAGGGACCCGTTTCTCCCAGTCAGCAGGGTCCCGGTTCTCCCAGTCAGCAGGGTCCTGTTTCTCCCAGTCAGCAGGGTCCCGTTTCTCTCTCACAGTCAGCAGGGACCCGTTTCTCTCTCACAGTCAGCAGGGACCCGTTTCTCCCAGTCAGCAGGGTCCTGTTTCTCCCAGTCAGCAGGGTCCTGTTTCTCCCAGTCAGCAGGGTCCCGTTTCTCCCAGTCAGCAGGGACCCGTTTCTCCCAGTAAGGAGGGACCCGCTGAGCACGGATCCCACCCGCCCTTTCATGCACATTTACTGCCCCATTAGGCGAGGGTTGTATTACAACGTAGCTCATATTACAGCTCTAACACTGTCTTTTTGTTGTGTGAGTCAAGTACACTGGAACTGGTGAAATGGTGGGTTAGAATTTCTGTTCCTAATATGTAACAAGTTCTATGGTGAGTCTAGTACACTGGAACTGGTGAAATGGTGGGATAGAATTTTTGTTCCGAATATGTAACAACTTCTATATTCTAGTCGCTCAAATATCGTTTCATATGCAATATCGAGTACTCCTTTTAAAATTTGCTATAATGAACTTGTTTTATTGACACCATAGTCACAGTATCGGGCTAAGGGATGCATGCTATGATCGTCACAAGTAGGGTTGAATGGTTTATTTATAGGTTTACCTTTTACGTGTTCAGTTAAAAAGATATATAAATGATACTTCACGCAAGTGACTAACAATAAATCCTAATGGATAACCACCCATCTAACCAGATAGTCTCTAATCCAATTAAAGAATAGCCCCCCCCCCCCCCCCCCATTCACTAAATGGTTAGCCTGTAACAACAAAAATTGTCGGTAGCATTTCAAATACACATTTCATACTCTAAAACTACTCTCCTAGTATAAATAAAACATTATAGAGCTGCATTTCTTCACGCTAAACTCACATTTTACCGCATACTTCCATTTAGACTTGGACTACACTACGTACGACTATTTGCATAAAACAAGGGGATGCCACTCTAGATGAACATTAAAACAGAGTTGTCCTTTCAAAGAAAAATCTGCCTGTAACAAGTTAATAAACGACCAAAGGGAAACCGTGTGGAAGAAATAAGAAAGATAAAACGCTAACAGGCTGAATAATGCAACACGATTTACTGTAACAAGACTTAATTATACGCTACCACTGACTAAATTATAAGCAAATGGCGATACTGATTGCATGAGTGACCACTCGATTACTGACCACAAGACTATGGACAACCCGACTACTGACCACAAGACTACGGACAACCCGACTACTGATCACAAGACTGTGAACAACCCGACTACTAACCGTAGGACTGACCATAAGACTAAGGACAACCCGACTACTGATTACGCACACACTGACCACTTGATCACTTCTCTCAATGTATTTTAGAACGCACCTACAAGACAACCATTAATCTCCTGGCTCTAATGAACAACCGGTGCTAGCTATTGTTTCTGTCGTAGACACTTTGTACCACATAAAAACCACTTGTTGTGTTGTGCATATACCCCTCAAACTAAATACATCATCAACTGTCTAATTAGAGATTAGAAAATCTTCAAATTTGAAGAGATCCAGAGAAGACTAACGCTTAGGTGGTGCTCAGAGAATGGTGGTTGAGTGGTAGCGCGCACGCTTACAACCCGTTTACTAGTTCGAGTCCGTACGTCCATGAGCCCATAGTGTGGGGTACCTAAATTGAGTCAAGGTAATACAATCAGGATGACCATCCTAATTTTATTTTCTGAGATAAGAACTCTACTCCTTCTGCTCCACGAACCATCTCGTCCAAAAAACACTTTTGTTTTCGTACTTTGAGGGTTTTAGTTAAGTCATTGACAAATAATAATCAATAGCAGCTATTCTAGTGAGGATCTCCACGTTCTCGTTCTCTCTCTCTCTCTCTCTCGCTCTTTCTCTCTCTCTCTCTTTCTCTCTCTTTCTCTCTTGTACTTTTTTCTTTCTAATCCCCTCTCCCTCACACACCCACACACATCTTGAAACAATAATCCCACCTTTATTTAACCCAGGTAAACAGGCCACCTTGTTTGCGTGGTCAACATGTGGTCAACAGGTGGACAAGACGTGGTCAACAGGTGGACAAGACGTGGTCAACAAGTTGACAACAAATGAGGCACAGCTCCAGAAGCGTCGTGACAAAAAGACAAGATGTCCACTTGGCGACATTTGCCAAAACCGGAAGTAGGAAGAAACAACAAAATAGTTCCTGGTCCTGTTCAAGACATGCAGGATTCCATCTATCTGCCTTACACAAATTCGTATAGTGGGTTTCCGGTGCCGTTACCTCAAATTTAGGATTGAGTTTTGGTTGAATTTAGTTTGGGACAGATTAGAAGTTCTGCTAGGGTTATAATTATATTAGCGTTATAATTATACTAGCGTTATAATTATACTAGGGTTATAATTATACTAGTTTATAATTATACTAGGGGTATAAGTATACTAGGGTAATAATTATATTAAGGTTATAATTATACTGCGTTATAATTATACTAAGGTTATAAGTATATAGGGTTATAATTATACTAGTGTTATCATTATACTAGCGTTATAATTATACTAGCGTTATAATTATACTAAGGTTTTAAGTATACTAGGTTCATAATTATACTAGTGTTATAATTATACCAGCGTTATAATTATACTAAGGTTATAATTATACTTCGGTTATAATTATATAAGCGTTATAATTATACTAGGGTTATAATTATATTAGAGTTATAATTAGCCCTCGGTTTGAGTTTAGGACTAAAATTGCGTTCTGGTTAGACACCTTTAATATTAGTATGTCGAATTAAAGAGTGCTAAAATTTGCTAACAGACAGCAAAAAGCAAACTCCCGTCTCGTAAATTGTAATGCGATTGCTTAAATTTCATGAAAATTGGTTTTAAATGTGATTTTTGTCAGTTTTTCTTTCTTTTATATTTTTTGTTGTTGCTGTTGTTGTTGCTTAGGTAAAAATAGTCCCAGTCACATGACATGGTAAATGTTTTACAGAAAACCAATTTCGGGAAACTGACCGAAACAAACCTATTCCATTATGGCAAGAGTGGATTGGTGATTAAACAAACAGGGGTAGACTACTCCAACTACGTGTGAACACAAACAATTCAGGGGCCCGGGTAAATGAATTAACTCCCTTAATTAAGTTTTTTTTAGTTTCTCTAATTGAGCCACGTGTCGTCAAGAACACAAACCCAAGACAGGGGCGTTCACTCGTGACGTCAACAATGTTTGGACGGGTTACCAATGTTGATGTCAACCCCTTTTGACGCGGTCGTTCTACCAATAATGACGTCATCGCTTTTTGTCGTTGACATTCTACCAATGCCAACTTGACATTTGAAATTGTAACAACCTAATGGAATATTGTTATTTTGTCTTTACACTGTGTGACCAGATTTTTCTAGTCAGTTCGACAAAACAGTGCATTCAAACTGTGATAGAGGAAAAATTAGACCGATGTGTTTTTTTTTTTAATTAATGAATTCTCATGGGGCAAGCAATTTAAAAGGAAAAAAATGGCGCGTTTAATGACTACGAAAAGTGTGAAATTTTTTATCTTTGACATCCCAATTATTGGCGAAAGTGGTTTAATCAGGCAGCTTCAGCAGACGTGAGTTGAGTTCTGCTGGCGCCAAATTTTATATCGCTCCAGCTCTGCCCTGCTCGTTCTAGATTTGCCTCTTTTTAACACTAGCTGGGCCCCTACACTACCATAGCTGGGCCCTTACTCTGCCATTGCTGTGTCCCTACTATAGCATTGCTGTGTCCCTACTATAGCATTGCTTGTCCCTACTATAGCATTGCTGTGTCCCTACTATAGCATTGCTGTGTCCCTACTATAGCATTGCTTGTCCCTACTATAGCATTGCTGTGTCCCTACTATAGCATTGCTGTGTCCCTACTATAGCATTGCTTGTCCCTACTATAGCATTGCTGTGTCCCTACTATAGCATTGCTGTGTCCCTACTATAGCATTGCTTGTCCCTACTATAGCATTGCTTGTCCCTACTATTGCATTGCTTGTCCCTACTATTGCATTGCTTGTCCCTACTATAGCATTGCTGTGTCCCTACTATAGCATTGCTTGTCCCTACTATAGCATTGCTGTGTCCCTACTATAGCATTGCTTGTCCCTACTATAGCATTGCTTGTCCCTACTATAGCATTGCTGTGTCCCTACTATAGCATTGCTGTGTCCCTACTATAGCATTGCTTGTCCCTACTATAGCATTGCTGTGTCCCTACTATAGCATTGCTGTGTCCCTACTATAGCATTGCTTGTCCCTACTATAGCATTGCTGTGTCCCTACTATAGCATTGCTGTGTCCCTACTATTGCATTGCTTGTCCCTACTATAGCATTGCTGTGTCCCTACTATAGCATTGCTGTGTCCCTACTATAGCATTGCTTGTCCCTACTATAGCATTGCTGTGTCCCTACTATAGCATTGCTGTGTCCCTACTATAGCATTGCTTGTCCCTACTATAGCATTGCTTGTCCCTACTATTGCATTGCTTGTCCCTACTATAGCATTGCTGTGTCCCTACTATAGCATTGCTTGTCCCTACTATAGCATTGCTGTGTCCCTACTATAGCATTGCTTGTCCCTACTATAGCATTGCTTGTCCCTACTATAGCATTGCTGTGTCCCTACTATAGCATTGCTGTGTCCCTACTATAGCATTGCTTGTCCCTACTATAGCATTGCTGTGTCCCTACTATAGCATTGCTGTGTCCCTACTATAGCATTGCTTGTCCCTACTATAGCATTGCTGTGTCCCTACTATAGCATTGCTGTGTCCCTACTATAGCATTGCTGTGTCCCTACTATAGCATTGCTTGTCCCTACTATAGCATTGCTTGTCCCTACTATAGCATTGCTGTGTCCCTACTATAGCATTGCTGTGTCCCTACTATAGCATTGCTTGTCCCTACTATAGCATTGCTTGTCCCTACTATAGCATTGCTGTGTCCCTACTATAGCATTGCTGTGTCCCTACTATAGCATTGCTTGTCCCTACTATAGCATTGCTTGTCCCTACTATAGCATTGCTGTGTCCCTACTATAGCATTGCTGTGTCCCTACTATAGCATTGCTGTGTCCCTACTATAGCATTGCTGTGTCCCTACTATAGCATTGCTGTGTCCCTACTATAGCATTGCTTGTCCCTACTATAGCATTGCTGTGTCCCTACTATAGCATTGCTGTGTCCCTACTATAGCATTGCTGTGTCCCTACTATAGCATTGCTTGTCCCTACTATAGCATTGCTGTGTCC